ATCGCGATGAGGAACTAGTGCATAGGATTTATTGGGCTTGTGCCGCTGCTTCTTTCCTTTTCACTGATCGTCATTAGCCCATCTGTGATCAGCCCTCTTGTTCTCCCCCTTGTTGGGAGTACTGCCCGAAGGACCAGAGTCGTGGCGGTTGAGAGTGGCCACAGAATTTTTAATGCGGAGGTACTTTTTAGTAAGGTCATAGAAGCGAGTGAGATAAACATCATCCTCATATTGTAGTTCCTTTGACAAGTCTATTTGCGGGTGAACTCCCGCAATGATGAGAGTCTAAACGGACTCTTCAAGAGTATGAGCCACTTTGTAAAGCTCCCTGTGGAACATGTCTATATAAGATTGGAGGGATTCATCCCTCTCTTGCCGTATATTGCTCGGGTAGCTTTGCGGCATTGAGAACTTCTTATTCGCTTGGAAGTGCCTCAGAAATGTCGAGCTCATTTGAGGCCATGAGCTGACTGATCCTGCTGGGAGCCATTTAAACCATCGTTTGGCATGGGCAGTTAAGGTTATTGCCAAGCAACGACATTTTGCCAAGTTAGAGACTTGGTGGAGTTCCATGAGGTCGTTGAACTCGTACAGATGACCTGCGGATGAGAGTTCTCATTGAATGCTCGTATGTCGGGCATTCTAAATCTCAATGGGAGAGGGGCAACTAACACTGCCATGAAAAAAGGAGACGCCACTACGACCTTCTCCTGCTCGTTTTACTAAGCTTTGAGCTGATCTAAAGCTCGCTATAGTTCCTCAATCTAAGGCAGCGGTGCTACTTGGAGATTCCTTTCTGCAATGTGGGTTCAACCCTCACGGTTGCAGTTAAGGAGAGACTACAAATTGGACTCTTCCTCACCTAGGCCGAAAGCTCCGGCCAATCTCGACTCACTCTGGCTAGAGCCGTGTGATGGCATCGAGTGATTTGGGGAGTCTTCCCGACCTCCGCGGTGGTACAAACTGACCTGCTGATGATGGGAACCCCGTGTGTAACGACGATCAAAGTCGTCATTTTGGCGATATTAGGAATCTCCCCGCCTTGCACTTTTGTGGGAGTGCTTGTGCAATGTGGCACGAGACGGCTCATGCTGCGACATGTCGTCGAGTCACAATGCCAAAGGTATTCTGCCTAGGACATGATCGATGTTCGCTAGACCTTCGGAGCCCTTTGGTCCATTGAGCGCCACTTGCTTTCCCTTTCTCTGGCACACTGTAATGCGTGCAATATGGGCTTTTGCCCTTCTCCCCACTTTCGCACGACCTGCAGACGTTTTTGGCAGTGGCACCACCTCATTGGATTCAGGTGGCACGACCCGATCCAATCGGTCCAACCTTTGGCTGATCGTTTGGAGAATATTATTGAACCTCTCCAGGTAACTCATGACGGCTGGATCGAGCCGCGAGCTTGAAGGAATATCCCCTATGACATTTTGCCGAATAGGAGGCACTTCGGCAGGAGTGTCCTCCTGTACCTGGGGGATCTCTTCATTGTCATAATTGGTTTGCTCAGATTCAAAACCGCGAGCCATTTGTTGTGGTGGGACCGATTAGTCAGAGATTTTCTAATGAAGAGCAGATACTAAATCAGGCCCTCCTTCTAGCGCTAAACTATTGGTGCTTGATTTTTGACATCAACTACTCGCACGTGTGAAATGCTAAGCGGACTTATACGTCACACGTGATATGTGAATGTTTAGTTAAATAAAGAGTGAAAGGCAATGTTTAAAGTGGTTCGGATGCTCAAAAGTGAATCCTACATCCACTGCTACTGTATTAATAAGAGGGTAGAGGTCAGGTCGCGTTCAGCGAGCTGAGCTACCGTTTAGAGGGAGAGAGAGAGAGAGAGAAGGCTATTTTAGAGTAAAAGTAGCCAATCCCGCAAATGGGAGGAAAGGCCCCTATTTATTGTGGGATAAACCAAGGTAATGATTACTAAATCTGTAAGTGGGTGGATACAGTGCAAATCCTTCTCTGTGTCCCATTACTCACCTACTCGAGTGATTTCCTCGACTTATACAGGGTTTGGACACGTGGACGATTTCTTACCATCTGCTAACCTGACACTCACCCACTGCAGTGACAGGGGCCATTACGCGACATGGCTACATCTGAACGGTCGGAAAACGTTTCCAAGTTCTGACCTCATGCTGACAAGGCTCCACGTCAGCCCTGCCTTTTCAGGCATATATATATAGAGACACGCACACACACACAAACAAATAATTAATATAATTAAATTGAAAATACCTGGTTAATGAATTGCTTTTTGTTTGTGGAGAGATCATCTATTCGTACAATAAACATGATCAACATAAGTATGGATCCAAATTTTCTCAAAGAATCCTCGAGGGATTGATTGGCTTCAATGTCAGCTGACTGCTTCACTTCCTTCTCCATTTTCTGCTGAAAATTATTCTTCAAGTTTCGATCTCTGGTCAAGAACTAAACCACAAATTAACAAATAAATAGCTTGCCAGTAAACAAGTATATATTGATTTTTTAAAATCTATTAAAAATTAATCAGCATACTCTGTGACGTAAGAAATTATTACAAGGTTTCATTAAAATTACTACACGTCTTATTTGAAGAATCTCAGTCCATGACTTTTAAGAGCCGGCCACGGAGTTCTTATCGTAAGCAATAAAATATATAGCTTGTTTCTTCCTGCCTTTTCCGATTAATTGAGGCCAGTCTTTATATCAACATTAATTATTACAGGCTCTCATTTTTTTTATTCCCCAATCAAAGAAATTTCAGTATGCTCACAAACAATTAAAGCTGTGCGTTTCATGAGTTCTGCACTAGTTTCATCAGAGGGAAACTGCATTAATATATTAAACACAAATANCATTCATGTGTATCTTTTTATTGCTTTTATTTGTTTATATATATTGCTTGAATTTTCGCTCTATTATAATTCTTGCATTAATAGTAACAAAATTTGGATCCTTGTTTGACTTAAAATATATAGGTGTATATATTTTTATAAACTTGTCCAATAATCAAAGATAATTCCATTTTCTCAAAATTATCAAGTACAATATTTGGAATGAGCAGGCATCGCTTTCTGCATGATTAGAAATGCTACCATCCAAACAATGGAGGAAAGGTAGGTGTGGTGAGGACCAAAAATGCCCAATTCAACAATTTTTTTATTTAATTTTAGTTTTGTAAAAGTAGGTATGTCATTTAATTGTTCGATTAGTTGACCAACTTTGAAAATCATCAACTAAACATTCATTACATTACACCTGTTGCTGAGGCTGTGGGAGGCAAACCCTATACCAAAATGCTGATTAATTGGAGATTCAACTATTATAAAATTGCCCAACCTAATTAAGTTAATTAATGCTAATTATTAGGGGATTATTGATGCTAATTTAGTAACATTTGTTAAACCTTGTATCTAGATGTTATTTATTATTGTCTTATTATTGCCAATTAATATAATTTGAATTACAATCCTGGAATGAGCACCACACATTTTTTTGATTAATTTATAAAAGGGATTTGGTCCCTGTCTCTGGCATAACACCGAGCCAGTCATATCCTTCCTTCCTCAACATAAATAATTTAATTAAAAGAGTAAACGACTTTTTCCCACCCAAGGTTTGCCTTAATGATACTTTTCCACCCAAAAAGTTTCAAAATACTACTTTTTCACCCAAAAAGTTTTATAGTACCACTTTCCCACCCAAAGTTTATATTCTGACCAATCGTTGGTTGGTTTTAACATCTTCGCGACCCCAAACCACCACCATTCTCTTCCTTGATCATCATTCACCAAAAACCCTCAAACTTTGCTCCCGCTTATCCCGTCAATCATTGGTAATCGAGCGATTTGTGAAACGCGCAGCCACCCCTCACAAGTTAGATTCCTACCAATCTGACCACTAAAATCTAACATGCCATCACCAAAAGACTCACTGACATCCTCTCTTTAAAAGTCTCAACAGCTTGGATCGAGTTTGCTCTTTGTTGGCCATCAAATCGAAAAATCTATTTTTGATAGTAAACAGAATATAAACTTTGGGTGGGAAAGGGTCGTTAAGGCAAACCTTGGGTGGGAAAAAGTGGTTTACTCTTAATTAAAACTAAACATTTTTTAATCTAAACAGTAATCGAATGATTGCATGAATTTGATATCAATTGAGTTTTTTTTTTTTTTACATTATTCTAGTTATATTTACAAATATGACACATTTTTGTAATACCTCGTAACCCCAAGTAGAAATTACAGAAACTATATCTATCTATATCAAGGGCGGATCCATAAATTTCTGTTAGGGTGGGCCAAATGAAAACGAATTGTACATAACATTCATATTCTGTTTTTCTAGTCAAAATTGTCACAAAAAGAAAAAAAAATTACGTTTACTATTGTCCTTGACGGGGCTTCATATTGAGGAATCGTTGCATGACCATCTCCTTATCAACATTGTCAAATATATCTTTCTCAACATATGGAATTAGGCTATCATTCAAGAATTGATCTCCCATATGATTGCGTAAATGAGTCTTCACAATTTTCATAGCAGAAAATGTCCCTTTCTACAATTGCAGTTGCAACTGGTAAGGTTAAAGTCAATGTGATGAGCAAATATACCAATGAGTAAATAAGATGCTTATTCTTTTCAACCATTTTCTAAACAAGACTGGTTATATCATTCAGTTCTAAAAAATCACTATCCGAGCACATATCATCAATGTAATTAACAAGTTGAAGTTCAAGTGCCATAAGATCAGTAGAAGAAAATTCAAGTGGATAAAATTGAGCAAAACGAACTAATTTTCCCTTATCAAATGCTTGAAAGCAATCACTTGGATTTAGGGAGGCCATGCAAATAAGTAATTTTGTATTACCTTCATTAAAACGACTGTTAAGCTCTGATAGTTGCAAATCTATTATGGCATAGAACAACTTGACACGATAATGAAATAAATTTGTCATCTCGTGAACATTACGCCACGATCTCCCTCGTGCAACAAATTTCTCTTACATATTTGGCACATTTATATTATAAGCAATGCAAAAATAAGAAACTTCATCAAGTAGATTATCCCATCCATTATTTCTTATCAACAATAATCTTCTTTTCAACAAGTGAACCAAAGACATAACATTTATAATATTTTGATCCTTCCTTTGCAATGCTTGTGAAAGTTCAAATGTGATTCCCAAAATGATTTTCATCATGTGTAGGTTAAAAGCAAAATCAAAAGAAGTCATATAATCCACCAAATCACTTGCTTCAACTCTATTATCAGAATTTTCAGTAAGATCCTCAAGCACTTCAATAACAGATGAAAACAAATTAATCAAGCTCAATAAAGTCCCATAATTTGAACCCCACCGTGTTTCCCTTGGCCGCTTAAGACTAATATCTTGATTAAGGCCTTGCCCTGTTGAAAGCTCACCACTTTCAATTCCTTTTTTCACCTTCAAAACTTGTTTGTCATTAAGAAGATCCTGATGTCTAGGTGACCATCCAATAATATTTATCACACAAGAAACTTTCAAAAAAAGTCTCTCAATATTTGTATCCTCTTTTGCCACAGCTACAAGTGCTAGTTGAAGTTGGTGAGCAAAATAAAGAACATAGAAGGCATATTTGTTATCTTTCAATTTAAGTGCTTTTAACCCATTAAACTAACCTCGCATATTACTTGCACCATCATAATCTTGTCCACGTAATCTTGATATGCTCAAATTATATTTAGAGAACAATGTTTCGATTCCCATCTTTAGTGACAAAGAAATCGTATCTGTGACATGCATAATGCTCAATAGACACTCAACAACACATCCTCTTTTATTTACATAACATAAGATATTTGCCATCTGCTCTTTGTTGGATCCATCACAAGTTTCATCAACTAATATAGAAAAAAAAGCATCTCCAAGATCACTAATTAGTTGATGGTTTCAACTACAAATGCATTGATTGTGTCTTTTTGGATACTAGGAGCAATCAATTTATCATGTCCAGGAGCAGTCTCCAATGCTACTAATCTATATTCTTCATTTTGCTCAGCTGTATAGTGTAAAAGTTCAAGAAAGTTTCCCTGATTCATTGAATTATCAGACTCATCATGGCCACGAAAAGGCAATCCTTGCCAAAGAAGAAGCCAACTTGTAGAAATTGATCATTTCAATCGAATATTATAATCTTCTTTCTGTTGGTCAGATTTCTTATTAATAACTATACTCACATGTTGTTTTTGGTGCATCAAAGCTTGACAATTTTTCAAAGCTTGGTTATGATAGTTGTTAGGACTTCCAATATGATATTTTAAAATTTTCAAGTCACTTCCAATTGTGAAACCCATCAAAAACAAAAGAATCACCGCCACTTTGCTCACCTTTATTTGGTTTGAAAAGATAACAACATAAACAATATGCAACATCATTCTCAACATTATATTCCAACCAATAAGGATATTTGTCAAACCAAGAATGTTGGAAACTCTGTTCATGATCATTAGATTTTGATTTGGGAAACTTATGGTTGCGAGGTTGACAAGGACCCTTTTGTAGATAATGCATTCTGACTTGGTCTCGAACATTAGGATGATAAAATGTAATTCTTGGTCAAAATCCAACATCAAAAGGAAGATTTTCCAAGTCAACTTCGAAGCAATTTTTCTTTGAAGAAGGTTGGTTTTCATTATCATTGACACTAGAAAAAGGTTGAGATGTCTCAACAATTGACTTTCTTTTAAAATATTTTTCCATATCTAAATACAAAGAAATAAAATTATATAAATACAAAGAAATAAATTCACTCACGAATTGAATTCTATAATAACTATGGAAATTCTAAGTTTTCCAACCATTCTTTATCTTTTCCATAGTATTCATCTAAATAATTATTGGTCTTAAATAATCAGTCACAATTATGTCACTTCTTAGTGATTTTTCAGCTAAAAAAATTAAATTGAGTAGGATTTATATATATATAAGTTAATGGAGCAATTAAGAAAGAAGTATTATAATCTGAAATATAATATTAGACTATTAGTGTTGTTACCAATCTTTATCCGCCATTTTAGGCTTCAGTAAATAAAAAAATTCATGGTTAACCAAATAAACATGCACATTGTTATCCTCTCTATTTGTTTTCAATCATCAACTTAAAGTCTTAAACAATATATAAAAATAAAAGCTTCCTTGATTCTTTCTATATTTCTATTTCTATTATCTATATATTATTTTTCTTCCAAATTTTGGGACCTGATGAGTGCTTGAAAGTGCACTCATACTTTGTGATTTTAAGGGTATGTTGTGTGGGAATTAGGTTTAATTTGCTAATTTTACTTAATTTTGGTAATTGTTTTGTTTTCTAGAATCACATGTATGTTTTATGAATCAAAATCATACAGGAATGAATGGTTTGGGAATCAGAGCTCAAACGAAAAAAGTTATGAATATTTGAAGATTGTTGGCGACGGAGGATTTTTGTGTGGTGGCATGAGTGAACATGCTGCACTAAAATGGGTGTAACTTTAACTACACAACTCGGATTGACCTGATTCTAGTGGAGTTTGAAATCTAAGAGATAGCTCTAGAATTTTATTTTTTGGTTGTGATCTGGTTTAATATAGAAGATGGTTAAAATTTTATCTTAAAGTTACATCAGTGCATAGAAGACAAGCATACGCAGGTGGTTCTAAAACATGCCTCAGTGTTGCTATGATAACTTAAGCTAAAGACCTCAGATTTGGATGATTATTGAACCATTGGAAATATGATTTAAATATCTACAATTAATATGTTTATGGTTTTGTTAGATTCAGAATTTTTCATGCTAAAAAGTGGAAGTCTTTCGACGCACAATTTTCCAGTAGCAGCTATTAAGGAGAAACAAACAAAAAAGGGAAACTTCACGAAGCTACCATAAATTCCTCAGCAAGAACTGGGAGTTGTACCACATATTTTTGTAAAGATTTGGAAGTCTAGTTTGCCTAGAATTTTACATTTCATTATTCTAAGATTTCTAGAGGAAGATATTTTTGTTTTAGTCCAAAAGGGTCAGCACAGGAATCCTAATTCTACAAGGACTCAACTTAAGATTAATCCAAATTCTATTCTCCTATTTTGTATAGGATTTTTCCCATTAGTTTCCCACAACCCTAGCTCTATAAAATGATGTCTTTAGGTATTTTTTGGGGAGACTAAAACTTTGAGAGAGACAAGGAGAGGAGATCTACCTAGGGTTTTATCTTTTTCTCTTGTACTTCATGTTTTTGAAGGGTTTGAGGTTTGATTTCCTTATAATTATGTGTAACTAATTTCTTTTCTAGGGATCTGATGTAACCTAACATGAAGGTTTTATGCTTTGATTAATTTTATTGTTCTATTGATTCAATCTGTTTCTAGTTTCATTCATTGCACTTAATTCGATCTTGATGTTTGGTATGGAATAAGTATGATAAACATTATATGCTAACTTTGAAATACAAAACAGTTGATTGTTTGAGACAAGGTAAGGTAAACATCATATGCGAACCTTGAATAGCTCTTTTGAATGATTGGATTCTATTGAGGCAAACATCAGGCTTGATACAATTTGGTTGATATTTTGAGTACTTCTTGTTCTTAATGGATTCTTGATTGTTAGACTTTACTAAACATCTTAGGGAGTTTAATGGTTAAGAATACTTGGTTAAACCCAGATATCAAACGGTAATATCATAATGATGGAAGATTGAACCCTAGGAATTTGATTGAGACGACAATAAATTAGTTATTAGCAGAGAATCATATTGTTATGGTGAAATCGGATGCCTAGGTTTTTCTTGCATTGGTTTTCAATTAATTTTTAATTTTGTTATTTAATTCAGTTGGTTAAGAATTTATTTTGCTTCCATAGTAGTTAGTTTAATTTCTTTTGTTTATTTTATTTGTTTAATTAAGGCATAGTATATTAGGATTAATTGAGTGCTTACAAACCTCTGTGGGATAGACACTTACTTTTGCACACTAGACTACAATAGCAATTCGTGTACTTGCGAGGTTGTAAATTGTTCATCAAGAACCACAAAACAATCATTTACCTATCACAAAATATTGAAATCTAAAAACTTCCCCTTTTTCCTAAAGGTTTTCTCAATAAAAAATTCAATGCTAATACACAAAAATGAAAGAAAAGCATTACACACACACACACACACAAAAAATTGCTAACCCGAGAGAAAATAGCTATATATATAACAAATTAATCATATATATATGTATTGATCATATATTACCATAGACCTTCTACTATGAATGTATGGGTGTTGATACAAAATATATGTATAGACATTTAAAATTATTATGATAATTTATGTAATGATAATATATATATGATAATCTATTATTTTGATAATTTAATAACATATTAAACACATTTAATTTATGATTAATATATGTATAATAATAATTTTGTATATACACAATTACAAATTTTATATATATATATATTAAAAACCCAATAACCAACAAACTAACACAGCCCAGCCCAAAATTTAAAACAAAAATCCAAAACCCAATTCCACATTTTCCCTTTTGCAAATTGCGACAGCCCTAATTTTTCCTTGTGCAATTTTGCTCAGCCCCCATTTTCCCTTTTGTCATTTTGCGCCGGACTCCTGAGGCCAAAAGAGATCAACGCAACGTCACAACATCTAGATCAAATCGAGAAGGCCGAGAGAAGGGTGTTTCACTTGTGCATTTTCAACATCCACATTTTCCCTTTTGCAAATTGCAACAACCCTAATTTTCCCTTTTGCAAATTTGCTCAACCCCCATTTTCCCTTTTGTCATTTGACGCTAAACTCCAGAGGCCAAAAGAGATCAACACAGCACTGTGACATCTAGATCAAATCAAGAAGACCAAGAGGAAGGTGTTTCGCTTTTGCATTTTCAACATCCATTGCTTCTGGAAGGTATTCGAACGAGTTATTCAAACAGAAATTCACAAGTTATTCGAACGAGTTAATCCAACAATTTTGAGCATTTTTCGAACAACTTGTTTTGTTAATTGAACGATTTCAAATGATGATTCTATGTTCATTCCCGTTTGAACACGATTTCGAACAACCTATTATGCTTATCGAACAATTTTCGAACGAGGGTGTTCATTCGTGTTTGATTCATTTGTAGCCCAAGCTACATGTAATTAGTGACATGTGGGATATATGGATGTGTAGGACCTTTGGTTACACGTGGCTTAATGTAATTGGTTGGTGGATGTGTCTAATCCCTTCACATTCCCTTTAATACAAACCCTTCACATTCCTATTAATACAAACCCTTCACATTCACATTAAATATCTTTATGTTTCAAATACTTTCTCTTCATTTGCATTCTCATCACCTTCTTGCACAAATCTCTCTTCTTAAAACTTTAAAATTTTTGGATTTTGACATATTGGATGATTGTTCGACACGTGGTTGCATTTAATTGTTTATGATGTGGCATATGAATATTTGGCTGCATGTAATTGGTGACAATGTGGGATATGTGAATGTGTAGGTTTTTGGTTACATGTGGCTTAATGTATTTTGTTGGTGGATGTGTTTAATCCCTTCACATTCCCATTAATACAAACCCTCTACATTCACATTAAAAATCTATATGTTTAAACTACTTTCTCTCTATTTTCGTTCTCATCATCTTTTTGATTACACAAATCTCTCTGCTTAAAGCTCTAAAATTGGTAAATTTTGACATGTTGGATGATTGTTCGACATGTGGCTGCATTTAATTGGTGATGATGTGGCATATGTACATTTGGCTATATGCAATTGGTAACAGTGTGGGATATGTTAATGTGTAGGATTTTTTGTTACATGTGGCTTAATGTATTTTGTTGGTGGATGTGTTTAATCCCTTCACATTCCCATTAATACAAACCATTCACATTTTCATTCAATATCTATTTGTGTCAACTACTTTCTCTCCATTTTCGTTCTCATCATCTTCTTGATTAGAGGAATCTCTCTGCTTAAAGCTCTAAAATTTATATATTTTGACATGTTGGATGATGGTTTGACATGTGTCTGCATTTAATTGGTGATGATGTGGCAT